CCATTTTGAAAAATTGATTTGTTCACTTCTCAACATGATGAAAAACCTAAAAAATAAGGTTAATCATAATTGATTTCTTTTTCTTTTATATTCTCATTCATTCGTTTATTATTTCATTTGTAGTATTATCACATTTATGTGTGTTGTATTACTCTTTATTGATTTGCTTTGTATCATTAGTATGTGTGTTTATTCTAATTGTTTGTAATTATTTATGTTATATTATTTCTGTTTTGTTATATCATGATGTTTTCTTCTTGATTTTATAATTCTAAATATCTTCTTCAATTAATACGTTTATTTATTTCTGTTTATTTATTTCTTGTTTGTATATTTATTTCTATTTGTTAAATAGAAGTTAATTTATGTGAAATATCATATATTTCATAATACAAAGTTATGAGTAAACTCTCTATTTTATTATTTGTTTATGATTTTCTATTTTGATACAATTTGTATTATTCATTATTATAAAGAATGTATTATTTGATTATAATTGTTTATTAATCATTCTGATATAATAATTGGTATGTATTATTAAATAAATGATGAAATATATAATGGATATTATTCAACAAAATATTTTACGTTAATATTGGTAAGAATTATAGAAAAGTATACAAACTATTATAATGCTAATGAAATACACTCTTTCTTAAAATATTTGTTTTCTTTTATGTTTAATATAATATTTTGATTTTCATCATATTGAGAAATAAGAAATTCAATTTCTTCATTTTGTTTTATTTCTTTTAAATTAGTGTTTTCAATTATTATCAAATTATTTGTTTCTTTTTTTAACTTATTATTTCATTTTTATCTACTCCTTTTGACTCGAACCATCTTCTGAAGTGTCCGCTTATTTGATGGGACTTCCATTTTTTGATGTATTGGTCGGTCAATAATTTTTTTATTTCTACTACTACTTCTTTTTCTTTTTTCTTTTCTATCCCTTCATTTATTATTTCTTCTATTTTTGTTTCTGGGATTTTATGACCTAGGGCTTTTTGAATTCTATTCCATATTCCCTTCTTACTGTACCATCTATCTAATATGTTATTTCCTATTTCACTTTCTCTGGTACAGTAGTACATTACTGTTCTAATTATTTCAATAACATATTCGTCCCTTATATTTATTAATCCTTCACCCATTTCTTCTAGAGGGATATACAACCTATCTTTGGAGTTTCACCAATGTATTTTGCCTTTCTTAAATATTTTCTTATCTCCAAATCAATTTTATCTAGGTCAGTTATTTTCCAATTTACAACTGATGCTGAATATCTGAAGATAGGGATTACTTCCGTGTTTATTCTAGTAATATATCTTCTATTCCTACTTTCATCACTGTTTATTTCTTCCATCTTCTGATTCATTTTTTCTTTGATGGATTTACAATTGAAGGTGTCTTCAATTTCGTCGGACTGCCATATTCCTAAGTATTTATACAAGTCATCATATTCAACTAGGGGGATGTTCTGCATTCCATTTGGTATTTCCTTAATGTTTTTTTAATACCATTCCTGACTTTTTCTCATTCATTTCCATCCCTATTCCACTTATTATTTCTTTAATTTCATTGTGGATTATTCCTATTTCTTCATTACTTTCTGTCATTATTCTCATTTAATCCATATATAATGTGTGATTTGCTTTTGGGAATTTCTCTTCGATGATTTGAGAAATTACGTTCATCTGAATGATGAAGAGTAGATTTGATAATGAATCACCTTGTAAAATTCCTCTATTTAATTTAATACTACCTAGATATTCATTAAATTTATAACCGATGAATATCTTCCATCTAGTCATCATACTTTCAATAATGTCAATGATGACACCCTCTACATTAAAATATTTTAATGATTCAATTACCCATTCGTGGTTGACTGTGTCATATGCTTTCTTGATGTCATAATATGACTCCACATATTTTGGGTATTTCTCTTCTTTCTGCTGCTTCATCATATAACTATTAATTATTCCTTCTTTAGCAGCTAAAGACTGTAACTTACACCCCAGTTGATTATTACTAATTTTCAATGATTCACAATTCATGTTAAGTCTTCTGTGAATCTTTTCTTTTAATATTGATGTAAATACTTTCATAATTACATTTGTACAACTGATAGGACGATAATTAGTGACGTCGTTCCTATCACCTCCTTTGTGGATTAATAAAGTTCTTCCACTTACCAGGTCTAATGGGATGTTTTCAGGGAAGTTCAACCATTCATTAAAGATATTGAGAATGATTTCTCTTGATGATGACATTCTTTTCCAATAATACCCATATATAGTGTCTATTCCTGGTGCTTTCCAGTTACTTATTTTCATTATACTTAAATTTAATTCATTTATTGTTATTATGACACTATCATAATTGATATATCTTTCATTCAATAAGGTGATTTGTTTTATTTTCCAATTATCTTTATTTAATATCACCTGTGTTTCATATAATATTTCATTTATTCTAAAGTAATCTCGTTATTTGGGTATATTTCATTTTTTATTTCTTCCTTATTCTAATTTTCTTATTAGAATCAAACATGATTTTATTTGTATTGATTCTGATTATTTCATTTTTATTAAATTTAATTCTTTCTTTTATCATTGTCATCATATATTTTAGGTATTTTATTCTTTCTAGTGCTTTAACTTTCATTCCTTCTTCATCATGTTCATTTAATTTCATGATGCACTTTATTCTGTACCATTTCCTTCCCTTGACCAAATCTTCTAGTCTATTTATTTTCTTTAGGATTTCTTTTATTTCATCAAATTTGTCTCCTATTATTTTATTTTGGAGATAGAGATGCATAACCATTGAAATCCTCTTCATATCATCTTGCAGATCATCCATTCTGCTTCCTGACCATACCCATCTATTATTAATTTCATTTATTAATTTGTCAGTTTCTTTTCTTTTCCAGTAGTAATTAATGTTTGAACATTTTTCTACTTTCATTTCTTTTATTTTATTGATGAGAGTGTTAAGGTATTCTTCATCAATTTCAGTAGAGTTATTCTTTATTATGATGTTTTTTATTATTGAATTACACTCTACTCTTCCTTCCATTATATCATTTACTTTCACTTTGATGTATTGTTTAGTATTTTCTTTTATTTTATGTGACATTTTAATATATTTAATATATTCTTTTTCACTATTGACATTGATGTTTATTGCTTTTATTATACTTTCTATTTGTTCCCATCTTAATTTCTTATATAATTTCCTATTCAACCAATTAATTTCAAAACAATACAACACTTCAATTAAAATTTTATTTGTTTCTTTTGTTGTATTTCTTGTCTGACTATCATCTCTTGTTTTTTGACAATCAGTGCTTTGCTTTTCGATTTCCACTATTGTCTTTTTCATAGGAGTAGTTTCGTTCATCTCCATCGTTCCTGATGATGCTTTCCTCAATACTGGTTGTGTATTTATCACAAGTGTCATCGTTTTCTTCTTCTCTATTTCCTTCTGTGAAATAAAATTTTCAATATCATCTTGTTGTTTTGATATTATTTGTTTTTGTGCTTCATTTTCTTTTTGTGTGTTGTCTAATTCTTCTCTTGTTATTTCTGCAATTTCTTGTTTTTAATTGCAATTTCTTGATATTCAGAGATTTGTTTTTCTTTATCTCTTATTTCCTTCTTTAATTCTTTAGTATTTTTCTCTGTCATTTCAATTTTCTTCTCTAGTGTGTTTGCATTTTGTTCTAGCATTTTGTTTCTCTTTTTCAACTTTTCAATTTCTTCTTTCATTTCTTCATTTTCTTTTTCCATCTTCTTTTTACTAGCTTGAATACAAGGATTTTTTCTTCTTTGTTATTTACTTCGGTGATTTTCTTTCCTTCTATCTCATTTATTTTTCCTTGTAATTTTAAATTTCTTTCTTCTAATTTTTCATTTTCTTTCTTCATTTCTTCATAATTCGTTTGAATCTTTCTATTTTGTGTTTTCATTTCTGTAATTTCTTCTTCAAATTCTTTTTTAACTATTTCTTTTGCTTTTCTCATCATTTCTTCTGAGATGGCTTGTTCTTCTTCCATTTTTTCCATGCTGAATTCTTTAACTTTTTCTTTTAATTCAGTAATTTGATTTTTCAGTGCAAGTATTTCTTCTTTATCTTTTTCTTCTTCTATCTTTTCTTCTTTATTTTTTGTTTCTTCTTGTACTTTCTTTATACTTTCTGTTTCATTTATTATTCTTGCAATTTTACATCTATCATTCATCTTTAATTGGGTTTTTGTTTTTAATTTCTGCTTCTATAGCCTTAATGTCTTTTTCCTCCCAATCTTTTGTTTTTTCTTTAAACTCTTCTTTCGTCTTTTCAATTATCTTTTTCTTTTTAATTGAATATACTTCTTGCAGAATATCATATCATCTTTTCTTTTTTTCTTCATATTTTTTAAGTATTTCTTCGTATTCTCCTTCTTTCCATTCACTTGTTATTTTTTTATTCTTTCTTGTATCTCATTTATTGTTAGCCATTTGTATTTGTTATTTGTATAATCTTTATTATTATTGTATTTACCCTGTTTCTTATTCGTTTTTATTTGTGTCTTTCGTCTTCTAATCAAATTTCCTTGGTGTATTGTTTACCTTTATTATTATAATTGTTATGCCATTTATTGCTATTGACGTTTCTTTTTTTATTGTGTGACTTTGGATTTCTATGTCTTGTTTGCTTTTCTTTACATGACTCTAAGGTTTTACACAATAGCCATAGCATTAAAATTTGTTGTATTTCCTGCATTGGAAAAGGATCTCTCGATTGAACCTTAAAAATAATAATAAAAGAAACAACAAAAAAGAAGTAGATTAATAAAAAACAAAAATTATTTTAACAAACATAGTTTAATATATAATATCATTTTAGTCTGGAAAAGAGTTTTGGAAAGTAGCTTTTTTGGGTTTAAGATAACTTCTTTATATAATATTTGAAAAGTGAAAATAAAGACTGTTATTGCCACAAAGAGCTTCAATTTATTCTTGCTTTTCATGGAAATTTGAGGAGGAATTATCATCCTTTAAAGTTATTGGTTCATCATCTTCCCATTGTAAGGAATCCATTCTGTTTTTGTCAACTGGATAAATCCAGCGTTGATATAAATATATCAGGAAAATTATATCATCTCTGAAACAAGCAATTCTGTGAAGAGTTGGCATTTTGATAATAAAAGCAAATAAATCGTCAACGATAGTATTTAAAAATTTGTAAATAAACACTCTCCAAGGTAAGTTTGCAACTGATTTAAGTTTATAATTAATGAAAAGTTGAGGAGTCATTTGTAAAAAGCCAAAAGTATAAACTACTCCTACTAATAATGAGAGAATATACGAATACCAAGACTTAAATTCATTATTATAAAGTGAATAAATAGCATATCCAATACAAAGAGGAATACAAGCAATTCCAAGGTATTTTAATGCAATATCATCATACAATTTTGTTTTAGAATTTTGATAAGAGAGGTTTTTGTATTGAATAAACGAACCTTTTTCTTTAAAGTTCAAAGTAAAAACTCTTGTTAATTTCCATATGGTAATAAGAAGTCCAACACCATTTGATATTAAAATAAGGAAACTAGTATCATTATCAATGAGATAAAGTAATACCATAATTTCAATCCCAAGACTAACAAAGATTGATTTAATTGATAAT